GGACTTAAATACAGATTTGATGCACGAGAAAATAGTACATATTGAAGAAGGGAGCAAGTTGCACGTGGGGAAAAAAACGCGCCTGATTTAAATGTCACACCTGAACGCTCACATCCTTTTAATTATGTTTGAAATTATGAACATTGCTCAACATCATGAAAATTAAACCTTATTTTCAATAAACAATCCTGAAAAATATTTGGGGGTGCTTAACTTTTTTCCAGGTGTATATGTTGTTTATCTATTATTGGTTGGTAATTCCTGTTTCAACCTATACATAAACTTTTTTAGGAACTCCAAATGTTTTTAAGAAAGCTAACATCAAAGAGTAATGATAACATCGTTTACACTAGAATTATGATTGTTTTAAATTACTATTAGTTATTAATAATACTTATAAAAGCGGATACTCCGTTTGAAACTGTGTCCCCTCAGTGAAATATGGTTGACACCATTGTTTTGGTTTTTGAGTTATCATGTAATAAAAACGAAGCAGAAGAAAGAAGAACAAGAAATGCAAATATTTTGCTATGATATTACAGACATTCATAGAACTTGTGACTCAGTCATTACATAGATATTGTTATAAAAGGAAACACTGTATAGTACTTTAAAGATCTGATGACCTATTGAGGAGATATCTAAAATACCATTTCGATAAACAATCAGATCCATCCCTACACAGGCAGTGCAGCCACCTGATGATGAGTTTGATTTGGTTTGTCTCTTTTAAACGTAAAACTACACAATGGGCCATCACAGGTATCTAACTCGAATTTTAGAGCCGTAAGTTTGCAGACTTACCACTGAGCTATTGGGGACAATTTATTTGGGAAGAATGTCGATCGAAGGGGAAAAGTCTGTGTCAGCAAAATATATATATATATAAATTATTTGTACATGAACTGTCACATACTATAAAGTAAATATCTTAGCATCACCGCAGGAATCAGAAATATCGTTTAACTCCCAGTAAGAACTATTTTATTGTAAACTCTTAGGATGATTTGTTTAATAGTTATTTACGAACTAATTTTGCACGAATATCACGCAAGGGTAACCATAAGCGAGGGTAACGGAGGGGTACTGGAGTATGTGCCCCCTTGAATTCAAAACTTAAGTCCTTATTTAACATTCAGAGAGGCACTTCACTACTAGGTCAAAATTTGGTCACTTTTAACATGCAAAATAAGGTGTCCTCAAAAGTCGATGCTCCCCCCCCCCAAAAAAACAACAACTTCAAATATGTTCTACCACCCATGAGAGCAAAGCTCTACTTTAAAAAACTATCTGCACATAGCCGTCTATAAGTTTGAACTGATAGGCTAGATGGAAGGCAGCTGGTCAGTAGCACCGACCGCCAGTTCGTGTGCTACTCCTGTTTGATCAAATAATGGAATTTGACTGTCAATTTAATCAATAATTATATATACCTGCTCGGAAATCATTTAGAAAATCTCAAATAAAATAAGAGCCATTAATTTCACGTTTTACTTACTTTTATAAATATCCTTTTTTTCAAATGTGAAAAATGAAGTTATGAAAATAAACTAACCGGCTTGTTTTCATAAACTATTTCTATCGTCAGAACAAGGCTTCTGAATTTTGTAAATATGGTTACTGTAAAATAGCTGAAGTATCATGAACTCTATAGTTTTAAAAGAGTGGTATATTTTGCTAAATTATAATTTTATGTAGAATAAAACCTCTGCACTTATGAAGGAAATAATATAAATTATTTAATATGAAAACGAGAATATTCTACGTCAAATGACAGCAATGTAGATATGAGCCTTTTAGACTGTGGCCCAATTGACTAATTCATAAGAGTCAAATACATGCCTCCATCCCCACTTCCGGGAAGTAATAATATGTTGATAACCGGAAATATGTAAGATGACTTAATGAATAATTCTACACTCAAGATTTGAATGTATAAGGATTCTAACACATTAAAGTTGCTTATTAATAGTGGTTAATTTTATGTTTGCTTAGTTTGATTTAATACAGTTTTGATAACTTGAAGCACACGTATAATAATCACCTTAAAAGTTTGATAACTTTGTTTCCATAATAGTATGTCAGGTAAGTGAATGTATGTTGAGGAGAAAAATGAAATGAAATATCTTCCATAAAAAAAAATA